GGAATATGGAATTTCGGTTCACTAATCAACAAGGGGGCGGGTTTTTGCCATTTTACTTACTTTCTTCCAAATCTGAATCTTTTTTTAAACACTTCGCTAAAAATGGCGAGAAAGAAGTACAGGAAGTTTAGCTAGGGGGGAGGAGGTTGCACTTGTGCCTCTTCCCCTCGACGTGTTCATTGTTTGACAAATGTGACAGGTAATCTTTACAAGAGTTGAGAAGTGGCCTTCACGACGTCAAAGTGCGTACTGGTATCACTTCAAGGGTTCACAAAATTTCACAGTTCTTCACACTGGCTTGACACATTGATGGAAAGTGGTGAACGGGCAAAATGCCCCCATCACCCCCCCCCACCCAAGCCGAACTGCGTCAATAAGTAATTAAGAGATATTTCAGACGAAGGCCAACGATCTCTCCATTGAGGACGTCAAGAAAATCGAATACATGAAGCAAATCCTGCACAACCGCGGATATCGATTCAACTAGTCGATGTCCTTTTACGAAGAAAACGCCCTAACAAAGTAGCTTACGGTATCTGTAAGTAGCTCACGTGTATTTCTGGGTTCCCCATAGCTCATCACGTACCACGGTCGGAACAGTTTAGATTATTGTTCTCCTAAAGAACCCATGTACGGGGCATCGTAGATGGATGGATCACTCGCCAGCACCTCTGCATTCCTTCCCCAAAAAAGCCTAGGCTTAGAGCATAGACGACCAGGGAACGGTATACAGAAGGGGTAGCGAGTGCCCATCCTCCGGAAAACGTTACCGCCCCTCATGTACTATAGACTTGTTCGTAGTAATAAGTACAGGAAACTGTCTTTCGCTTTTAGTGATGTTACCCATTCTTCCATGTTATCAGTTATTTTTGACACTTCTAAAAATTTATTACGAAGTAAATTGTATTGGAACTGTGTCCATAATCACCCGGTCAGTATGATTGCTCCAAATTCCATCTCGTCTCCTTTTCGCTTGTTGATATGTGTTCGGGTTTCACCTGCGCCGTCCGGGAAGCACTGCAGTTGCCAGCGAGGCGGCGTCGGTGGCCTTTTCCATTGGAACGAGTTGCTTATGCAACTTTGTTCTCTTTTCTTCCCTCATTTCAGTTGTTTCCTTTTCACATAAATCATTCCTGATTGAGATTACCTTCGTGGCATTATATTCACAATAAAGCATATTCCAATATTTCTGGTACTTGACACAGGATGTAAAACTTAGTGGATAGCTCTGAAGAATCCCGGATCTAATTGTAAGTGTCACAATCGTGATGTTTTACTGCTTGGAAAATCGCTTAGATTAGATGCATATGGAGATGCAGGTTTGAATCCCATCCTGGTCTGATTTAAAGGCACATTTCGCGGCCACCAAGTGGGCAGAGTTTCTTATTCATATACACGAGCAAGTACACAGCGCGACGTATTACTGCCCACTGGAGATTGCGTAATAAATGACGCCAGGGCCTTGTGGCCTAGGTCTAGCCACTTCTTCTTCGGTCCGGCCCCGCCCACACCGTGGACATCACGCCCACAGTAGAGATATCATCCCGCTCGCGCACCGCGGAGCGCCTCTACAGTCGATATCATCAGTCGGGGGGGGGGTTTCAAGAGGGATGCAAGGAGCCCGCCACCGGTGTTTCCACCTTTTTTACTTTCCGAATCGATCAGTAACCTATCACGACATGTCCAATAAATATAACAAATAATATATGATTGGTAGAGCAAGGCAGCCGGGAGGCGGGCACCTACCGCCCTCGACTCATTGCGACGAGATCACCTATATGTCTTCATTTGCAACATGCTCGCCTAATGGGCTTTTGACAGGTTCTGCTTTGCTTGTGACTCACTTACAATCTTGTTCGCTGCGGATAATGGCGCCCTCAGGGGGATGAGTTTGGCACGCCGCCAGCCCGTTCTGCACTGACTGTCGAAGCGAATAAGCGACAACGACTGGTCAGCTGTGTTTTCTTCAACCTCATTCCTTATGGTTAGTGGGAGGGTGCAGTGCACGAAAGACTGTACGTTTTAAATGGACGCAAAGTATAATAAAATTAGTTGTATGACCCTGGAGTAGAAGGAAGATCCAAGTTTCTGCTTAGAATTCGAGGTCCATCTATGAGAACAGATGTCGGAAACCACCCCCTCCCCACCATGAAACCCGAAAGGAATTCGCGAGAAGGGTTCGATCTGTCCTAGAGTGGTTGATCTTTCTTCGCGTCGAGTTACGTCTGTTTTGAGGCGGATATTCGGTGTTGTGGTATGGTCGTGCTCAAGAATTCGCATGGCACCAGCTGATACAACGGCCGACGAACAGATGAACGCCATGAGGAATGAATAAGTCAAACGAACGCTTGGCCGGTGGGATCTTTGGCCAAAGACTCACCCGTTCGAGCCGCTTGCCACTCCAACGTGAACGCTCTATGTGCACAAGCGCCAGAGATCTGAATAATGACGTCTGTTTGCTTGTTGGCCTTTGAATATTGCTCCAGGCAAGGTGATATGGCCCTAAATGGCTCAGTCTATCCAGAGTTCTCGCAACGGTCATTAGTTCCGCAGCCTCTTGACACCATAGAATCAAACTAGATCAGGGGACCAGATTTTTTTTGTACGTTCGCCCCTATTTAGCGCTTTCACCCTCAGTATGGAAGGTGCATACTTTTTCCTCCATATTGACTCTCACCGTGTATTTCTTGGTCCGCTTACGTATTCAACTAGTCATGGGTTTTGAGTGGAACACGAACACATGGCTTATACCGGAGTCTTACTTAACGCAGTGTTGATTGTTTGATTGTTTCGATAAGAACATGCTCATAATATGTGAATTGCGAGAAGTTTTTTTGCACTTTTAAAGACCTCCGAGACTACACTCTCTTCCGAGGACGGTCCTTCCGATTTGCGAAGTGAAAAGGTCCGTTAGGAATAGTGCAGAAAGTGGCACAACCACAATTTAAAACTGTCGCTGTGGGGAGTCTGATCTTGTAACTAACGTTATACTTGGC